AATTGTAACAATTTTTTTTAGATCATTGTTACCTGTAATAGAACTAATAGCATTTTAAAAAAATCTAAAAATGGAAAAATGGTTCGGATTAGAGGCCTGCATGAGTCCAAATTTGAAGCTCATTATAATTAATTAATGCTGTTATTATTTTATTTTACAAATACAAACATAGTTTATCAAATTTTTTATAGAAAATAAAAACGATAAAAACATTATTGATGTGCACTAAATACCATCGCCAACCTTAACCATTCCTGCTTTTTATTGATTTGATCAAGATTAAAAGTACTTCCATCATATAATTTCTCTTGTTCATCCAACAACTCTTTTTGAAATTGTGGATGATTTGCAAATTCTAGGTGAAAAAAAAAGTGTATTTGTTTATTTAAAAGATTAATAATAAATTTTGCAAAGATTTTTTTTTTTTTTTTTTAAAAAAAAAAAGTTGTTTGATACCTTGTACGCCGAAAGTTAGAAACGTGGACATATTATGTACAGAAGCAAATATATTAACAATAAGAAAATCTGTTACAACATCAACATCAACCGTGTAACCCTTGCGAAAAGCGTTAATGAAATGTTGTAACATATCAACCTATCACAAAAAAAATTGCGATATATAAGCGAAAATTCGATTGATCACAACATGACATATATATATTACCTGAGGAACACAAGCATCTCCTAGTTTTTTCATATAATTAATTCTTTTCTCAATTATAGGAGCAACCTTTCGTTTAATTACTTCTCTGTGCTTTATAAAAGGGTTGCTTAAATGACGAAACTTTATTCTAATGCGAAAAAAATAAATATATTAAACACAAATTTGTTATAAAGTCTGGCTTTCCGCGTTTTTCTGGCATCACGTGCTGTCGCTCCAGTACCGCATCTACAAATGTTTTACAACGGTCCAGACCCACAATTTCAATAATCTTATGTAAAGGTGGTGCTTACATGATGAAATTCTTATGTATTACCGGATGAATAAAATTTAGGAAAGGTGGAATTGACAAATATGTCATGAGATCGCTTGTAGCGCAGGCAAATGAATTTACCAATTCTTCATCATCGCACAATTCCTATTAATAAATAAACAGTTAATGTTAATCCATAAAAACAAATATTTACATTTATTTATCTTTTACATACCTCACCAACCATTGCCGCGACCATTGGTCTTGCAATAGTATATTGAAAGAATTTTAAGGGAGATTGTAATACTTAAAATGTGGCAAAAAAATATTAGAAATTCGATTGGTTCCTTCCTCAATTTCCTTTTAAGGAATGCCGATTTGTCTTTACCTTTTCCATCACCGATTAATTCATCGATAGTTTTAATTAATTGTCTTTGAATTCGTTCGGTATATAAGTTGAATTCCTTTGAAACTTTTATCTGAGTTGATGCAGATACATTTCGAAAAAACTTTCGTGGCCGATACAAAAAGTCATCTATAGGAAAGATCTATCCCCGTTGTTAAAACTTCAAAACTATTGACGTGGCAACTTTTCCTAGAAAAATTTCTTAATTGGTACATACATCCCTGTGCGCATCTCCAAAATCAAACGTTTCATGATTCTTGAAAATTTCAGTACAAAGCTCTTTACCTACGATAGTTATTACTCTACCAAACACGTATAATGAAAATATTTCTCCATACTCTTCACGACATTTTTTAATAAGAGTTTCGTTTTCTGTATAAAATTCAATTGTATGTCCAATAATTGGATATTTATAAGGTACAAGTGGCGGTTCCGTCTAAGCATAAATTCCAAAATTTTAGTGAACTTACATTTAAAACTTTTTAAACGTGAGAAATCATAAAAGATTAACTACCAATTTCAATCGTTGACTTTTCCTCAGCCAAATAAATGTTATCAACAAAGTTAATCCAAGTACAAGGTTTGCGATCGGATCCATTTTTGTTATTTAATAATAATGATAATAAAAAAGAAAGGAATGTTCAAATAAT